AACCTTTTCAATTTTTAAGTCTTTTCGAACTGAAGTGCAATGGGTATGTACAACAGGGAACAATAACGAATGCTTTTCGTATGAAATAGATTTCCAAAGTAACACTGATTTTTGAAAGTTGACTTTAAAGGCATCAATAGCTAATAATATGCCATAAAAAATATTTTTTTTTAAGCACGACGCGGAATTGTTATTATTTTTACAGTTTCACAAAAACGATCAAATACCTTACCACTTTATTTTATACAAGAGAAAGTTTTGTCAGTTTAAAAGAGTTATTTATGTTAACAAATCGCTTGACAACAACTGTACCAAAGTGGATTAAGTTGATGAAGTGTCATTTTTTAGCCGCGGCATAACGGCTCATAGAATGGTTCTGATTTTTTATTTTATTTTTCAAGTACAAACTTTTAGCTCAAAGCTCCGTCGTTTCTTGACCGAGCTGAGATCTAATTACAGTTTTGGACTAAGGAGGTCATACCTTTTTGATTGGTATATTTGCTTAATGTAGCTTAGCTCTGAAAGAAACAAACGGGTGCTGTTATTTATAGCCAAACAGGCTAATTGTAATGAGAAATCAATAACTTAAGTTGCGTAATTCTTCACAGGTTGAGTTGAGATGTGTCATTAAGCCTGAATATTAATTTTTTTTCAGGTGTAAGACTCGACTACCTGTAGTATAAACTTCAAATATATTATATAAATATGTCTTAAATATTCTTTAGGTTATATTGGATCCACCACAAGGTGGTTACAAGTTCGCATACCAGAACTGTAAATTTAAAATCTACGTCATTGTCCATCATTGAGAAACATGCACTGAATAAATGTAATGAACATATAAATAAATGTAATAAACATATAAATAAGTGTAATAAACCTATAAATAATGTAATAAACCTATACACAAGTGTAATGAACATATAAATAAATGTAATAAACATATAAATAAGTGTAATAAACCTATAAATAAATGTAATAAACCTATACACAAGTGTAATGAACATATAAATAAATGTAATAAACATATAAATAAATGTAATAAACCTATAAATAAGTGTAATAAACCTATAAATAAATGTAATAAACCTATATATAAGTGTAAAAAAACTATAAATAAGTGTACTGAACCTATAAATAGAAATGGGTTTAAACGCCGAAAGCCAGCGAAATATTGGAAACTCAATCCTTCATACTCCAAGAAAACAAAAACAGTTAATTAAAATAAGAACAATTTAACATCCTTAAAGAGGACCTGTGTGAAAAAGACATTTAATATTAATCGAGTTAAACCAAGATTGAAATGCCTAGATGTTCATAATAAGTAATACGAGAATTACGTCTAGTAAGAGTAAAGATTAAATGTTTCAACATGCTGTTACTGATTGTATTCGAACAGCAAGAATGGGATGCGTTTTGAAGACGTTACTGACAGAAGAACAGCAGAAATTCTTAGGCCATGGCTCATCGCTCGAAAACAAATAGAATCAATGGATTTGGTAGGAGAGGGTAAGTTTCCAGTAACATGTAAAATGTTTTTAGATAATTTATACAGAATAAAAACTAGGACTATTTATCAGAAAGCTTATTAAATAAAGGTGGTGAATCATTAATAAATAAAACAGGAATTACTTACAAATTCATAATTATATTACTTACATTTAGTTGTATGTACATTAATATTCTGTGAACTGTGATCTTTTATTTAAACGTAACATCAACATAACCTTCCAGAGAAAATAATACAATGTAACCATGACACTAGGCAGCTTTGATCAATATATATATAAAATAATAATAATACAATGTAACCATGACACTAGGCAGCTTTGGTCAATATACAAAATAATAATAAAATGTAACCATGACACTAGGCAGCTTTGGTCAATATACATAATAATAATACAATGTAACCATGACACTAGGCAGCTTTGATCAATATATACAATAATAATACAATATAACCATGACACTAGGCAGCTTTGATCAATATATATATATATATAATAATAATAATACGATGTAACCATGACACTAGGCAGCTTTGATCAATATATAAAATAATAATACAATGTAACCATGACACTAGGCAGCTTTGATCAATATATAAAATAATAATACAATGTAACCATGACACTAGGCAGCTTTGATCAATATATAAAATAATAATACAATGTAACCATGACACTAGGCAGCTTTGATCAATATACAAAACAATAATACAACAACATACGTTCAACAATATACAAAATACTAGTACAATGTAACCATGACACTAGGCAGCTTTGATCAATATATAAAATAATACTAGTACATGTCACTCTGATCATCAGAGCTCTAAATAAACTAAAGTTTTATAGAAACCAATACTTCCCCATTTTTAATGTATTCATTATTTGTGTCGCTTAGTTACACCACTCATAACTGTGACAGGTTGCCTTATTGCAGAACAAGAAGAAATATCACGATGATTTGTCACATGTCTAACAATAGTGACCAATAACATACGCAGCATCCAAATAAGGTAATCTGAAATACAGGAACAATAACAAGAGCAGTAAATACACTGAAAAGCTAGTTATGTGATATACAATCTCAAGTTAAGATGGCTACCAAATGAAAATAAGAATTGCCTGTCAATTTCTTATTTTTCCCACACGTGAATTTTAATTTATAACCACTTTCTAAAAAAAAGTTAAATCTATAGTTAAGAAAAACGAAAACTTTATCTATCAATATTTTACTATATCAGAAGAAGTTAGAATTATATTTTTAATTTAGAAGTTTGATTGCTGGTAGGTGGAGGGGAGGAGAGACTTTTAATGACGTAATGATTATGCAACATCTCGAAGTTTCCTGAGGGATGTGGAAAATTAATCATAATATAAAAATGTCAGGCTTAGTGATCTAGAATTAGTTAGTTAGTTAGTTGAGGGTCAGTTAATGAGTTAGACAATGAGAGTTATTGCGTCTGTTCTTCAGTGATCGATGTAGAATTTGTCAGCATATTTGCTTATTCTTGATCGATTAGCGAGAAAATTTCGCAAGTAAGTTTATCTGTGAGTTAGGCGTACCATTATGTTCCCGCAATATTAATAAAACCGACTTGAACTTCCTATACGAGGGAAGTCTTCGTTGTCTTTTGCAGGTGCTTTTGCGACTGTATATAAAGGAAGATACCTTTCTGTTGAAATATTGTTTATGAAGTTAGGCCTACCAGTGAACGTAGCCTGTAGTAAACGTTATTGAAGGAAATAAATGAATTCGTTATCATTAATGAGACAAGATTTCGCATTATTTCTACCTTATAATCCAAAACAACCTGTCCAACGATAAAACGCGTTACAATAATACGGTTACTTAGACACTATCTGTAACAAATCATTTTGTGTGCTTGTAGACGCAGGTGAATAGCTTAATTGCATTGATTTAAAATTTTTATTTTATAGAACTTTTAGGAATTCTGTAAAAAATAATCATTTTCCCTTTTGTTGTGGTGTTCTTGGTATACCAGCTGGACACTATAAATGCGTTACAGTACAGAATTCCAGAATTCTCCAGACGCGAGCAGCAATAGTCCAACACACAGTTACAAATAGGTAACGCTGAGATTTGGCCTACCGCACTTACACATGGCCGGTAGGACTAAATACTTCAACTCAAAACTACGAAGATTCAAAAATTTCTAATTCGTACAAATATCATCAAGGCTTCTGTAATGCTGTAAGGGTCGTATATAGAATTTTGAAAACACATTCATCAAAGTGTACCGATCGTACTAGATTTTATGAAGTGTGAGAAATAAGACAGTTGTATTAAGTTGTAAGAAAATGTTCCCGAGAAAATTTTGCAAGTAAGTTTATCTGTGAGTTAGGCGTACCATTATGTTCCCGCAATATTAATAAAACCGACTTGAACTTTCTATACGAGGGAAGTCTTGGTTGTCTTTTACAGGTGCTTTTGCGACTGTATATAAAGGACGATACCTTAGGGATGTTCCACCGACGATAGTCGCCTTGAAGATGTTGAAAGGTATCGAAATCACGATTTCTTTAAGTTCAAAAATAAAATTAGATTCTTCTGAAAAAAAAAACAGTTCTCGCGGATTGTGGTGGACAAACATTAAACAGCTGGTTTAAAAGCTACAGACTGTCTAAGGAGTGCTGAAGGTTTACGTCAGCTAAACATGAAAGAGTATAGGTTTAAAAGCTACAGACTGTCTAAGGGGTGCTGAAGGTTTACGTCAGCTAAACCTGAAAGAGTATTGGTTTAAAAGCTACCGACTGTTTAAGGGGTGCTGAAGGTTTACGTCAGCTAAACCTGAAAGAGTATTGGTTTAAAAGCTACCGACTGTCTAAGAAGTGCTGAAGGTTTACGTCAACTAAACCTGAAAGAGTATAGGTTTAAAAGCTACAGACTGTCTAAGGGGTGCTGAAGGTTTACGTCAACTAAACCTGAAAGAGTATAGGTTTAAAAGCTACAGACTGTCTAAGGGGTGCTGAAGGTTTACGTCAACTAAACCTGAAAGAGTATAGGTTTAAAAACTACAGACTGTCTGTGAGTGTAGCATACCATACATGGGCGATGAAAGTTTACGATGGATAATTATGAAGAGCAGATTTAAAAATAATCTTTTTAAAAAGCCTTTTTTTAGCTCTGTTCACCTTGGGGACTGAAACTCCGGATTTTGGCGTTGTATCTTCGTAAATTTACCGCTGACCCACAGGGGGACAGATATTTTGAACTACGTCGTGAAAACTTGATAAAATATTAGAGTATGTTTTATATAGAATTATGGACAGTGATTCAAAAGAAAAAAAATCATACGTTTCACGTTTGATGGCAGCAAATATAATGTTTTAAATTCCAAAGTTTGTAAATCAATAGAGCCACACGTTAAGGGTTTTAACTCGGACTAAGCAATAGAGAAATAGTGAAGAAATAAAATACATGTAATAGATCTATGCCCAAAGAATCTCTATCATCATCAGGGCTGGGGTAAAGGCAAAATGGGTCTTGATCTTGTTGCCCGGGCACCAGAATCGTCATATCTCACATATCTCTATACTTACAGATCCCTCCAACTATAAGTATTTGTTTTTGACAGACATCTGCATTATATTGGGAGTGTACAGAATCTCAGAGTTTATTGTTTCTAACAGACACCTGTATTATATTGTGAGTGTACAAAATCTGAGTTTATTGTTTCTAACAGACACCTGTATTATTTTGTGAGTTAACAGAATCTCAGAGTTTATTGTTTCTAACAGACACCTGTATTATTTTGTGAGTGTACAGAATCTGAGTTTATTGTTTCTAACAGACACCTGTATTATTTTGTGAGTGTACAGAATCTCAGAGTTTATTGTTTCTAACAGACACCTGCATTATATTGTGAGTGTACAGAATCTCAGAGTTTATTGTTTCTAACAGACACCTGTATTATTTTGTGAGTGTACAGAATCTCAGAGTTTATTGTTTCTAACAGACAACTGCATTATATTGGAGTGTACAGAATCTCAGAGTTTATTGTTTCTAACAGACACCTGTATTATTTTGTGAGTGTACAGAATCTCAGAGTTTATTGTTTCTAACAGACACCTGTATTATATTGTGAGTGTACAGAATCTGAGTTTATTGTTTCTAACAGACACCTGTATTATTTTGTGAGTGTACAGAATCTCAGAGTTTATTGTTTCTAACAGACACCTGTATTATTTTGTGAGTGTACAGAATCTCAGAGTTTATTGTTTCTAACAGACACCTGTATTATATTGTGAGTGTACAGAATCTGAGTTTATTGTTTCTAACATACACCTGTATTATATTGTGAGTGTACAGAATCTGAGTTTATTGTCTCTAACAGACACCTGTATTATATTGTGAGTGCACAGAATCTCAGATTTTATTGTTTCTAACAGACAGCTGTCGTAAAGAAGATATTGTTGCTTTCGTGGATGAAGCGCTAGTGATGGGGGAATGTCATCATCGGAACGTGGTAGGCCTGATCGCTGTGTCTATTGACCAATACTTGCAGCTCCCCATCATTGTAGTTCCTTACATGCAGAACGGGGATCTCCAGACGTACCTCAGACGGATAAAAAAAGAAGAAGACAAACAACAACAGGTGGGGAATATATTTAATCATCAAACTAAAGCAGGAAAATAAACGAAACCGAATTTAACAGCGAAAAACTAGAGGGAAGGCCATTAGTCATTACCACCCACCGCCAACTCTTGGGCTTCTCTTTTACCAACGAATAGTGGGATTGACCGTCACATCATAACAGTCCGTACTAGATGACACTTATTGTTAGGACAATCACATCCAACAGTCCGTAGTAAATGATACTTATTGTTAGGACAATCACATCCAACAGTCCGTACTAAATGATACTTATTGTTAGGACAATCACATCCAACAGTCCGTAGTAAATGATACTTATTGTTAGGACAATCACATCCAACAGTCCGTACTAAATGATACTTATCGTTAGGACAATCACATCCAACAGTCCGTACTAAATGATACTTATTGTTAGGACAATCACATCCAACAGTCC